CAGCACCTCCAAAAGCTCTAGAACCTCCAGCGCCAGCACCCGCAGCAGTAGCATCCCCAAAACTGGCACCTCCAGCTCCAGGGCCTCCAACCTCAGAGTCGACAGCAGCACCTCCAGGTCCAGCAGGACCTCCAGTCCCAGCAGCTCCAGTACCTCCTGTACGAGCACCTCCAGGACCAGCTGCTTCAGGAACTCCAGTAGAAAAACCTCCAATAGCAGAGTCACCAGCTCCAGCGCCTCCCGCAGCAAGGCCCCTAGCTCCAGCAACGCGACCCTGGCGGCTAACGTACCACTCACGCAGATGCTGTGGGGAAAGAGGGACAGCGCCGGCTCCAGTGCCTCCAACACCAGCGCCTCCCGCAACAGGGCCCCTAGCTCCAGCAGCTCGACCCTGACGGCTAACGTACCACTCACGCAGTTGCTCTGGGGAGAGAGGGAGACGACGATGAGAGTGCAGCGGCGAGGCACCAGCGGAGCGACTATGGATACGGCCGCTCCAGGGAGACTGCTCACCAGACGCCTCAGCGTCCTCAGGTGCAGCACCCCCAGACTCAGTACCCCCAGGCTCAGCACCCTCAGACTCCTCACGCCCACGCTCAGCACCTCCAAGCTCCGCACCCCCAGGCGCAGCACCCCCAGGCTCCGCACCCCAAGGTCAGCACCCCCAGGCTCAGCACCCCAAGAAGGAGCACCCCGAGCAGGACCACCCTCAGAAGGACCTGAGTCACCAGTGACCTCAAACGGCGCAGTCAAGGGAAGAGGGTCTACCTGAGACACACCTAAAGGAGCAGGACCGGGAGCGGGGAGGGGGTCTACCTGGGGAGCACCTGCAGCAAGGAAGAGCGGCGGGGGGGGGAGAGGGGCAGTGCGGTAGGGGAAGAGACGGTAAAAGGGAACCGACTCGTCGAAAGTGACGTCCTGTGAGGGGAAGACACGGCACGAGGTGGGGTGGTAAAACTGCCAACCAGGCGCGTCAGGGACAAAGCCAAGGAAAACACAGGGAACACCGCGGGCGGAGAGCTTGTCCGCGGTGGTATCGCGGACAAAGGCACGAGAACCCCAGACCCGGAACATCGACGCATCGCCAACCTCCCCCGTCCACCGCAGTGTGGGCGAGGTCTCCGGCAAGGAGACACGGGGCTCGAGGTTGAGCTGATGCGCGGCGTAGTAGACCGCAAATGGCCACAGAAAATGGGGGGCAGCCGCATGGACCATGGAGGTACGAGCGACCTCCATGACCAAGCCAATGCGGCGCTCAGCAACCCCATTCTGCTACGGAGAGGCCGGAAGCGTGAATTTCTGGCAAATGCCCTCCCCACGACAAAAGCTCTGCAGAAGGTCGGATGAAAACTCCCCACCTCTGTCAGAGTGCAGACGCAGGACGGGAAACTCCGTCCCGAACCGCTCGCGGAGCTGGAGACGGGCAGCGCGGATCCAAGGGATCAAAACATCAGGGACCTCACCCTTGGTGCGCAAGGGGAAGACCGTGGTGTAACACGAGTAGTCGTCAACAACCAGCAGGAAGTACCGCTCGCGGTCCTGCCCACTGACGCGGGCTGGGCCCCACACGTCCATGTGTAGGGTCTGCAGGGGAGCAATCGTCGGGGGAAACGAGGAGGAGTGAGGAGTGGCGCGCTTCCGCCCCTCGACACAGGGAAGGCAGGGAGGAGCAGGCGAGGGTGGGAGGGGAGGGAGAACCCTAGGAAGACCAGAGACAAGGACATGTCGGTGCATGCTACGAAGGCGCTGCACCGAGGGGTGACCAAGACGGTGGTGCCAAAGGAGGGTCTGGTGCGACAAAGCGCGACACGAGCAGGGGGCCGCTAGCAGACGCACCGACCTAGGGGAACACAGTAGTCAGTGTGTACAGACTCGAGCCAAGCGCACGGGTAAACGTGGCCAGGTGTCGGCCCGTCCGGGAGCATGTACAGTGGGTCACGCGCTGACCTCCAGGAGTGAATTGGTCAACCCACTTGTCCTGGAGGTCAGCACCACTCACCAAGTTCATAGAGAACGAGGGGAGGTGAAGACCTAAGAGGGAACCAGACAGGACCGCCGAACATGGCAGGACCATGGAGGAATGCGTAAGGACTGAACCCCCAGAGGGGTCTGCCAGGGAGACTGCAACCGCCCGATTGAGCGGCGTGAGGGTGGTGCTGTCGCGAAAGAAGGAGCGGGAAGCACCTGAGTCAAGTGTGAAGGTGTTCAAGGCCTCAGCAGGCGCAGTACTACAGAGGCAGACTCACTTGCACCTGGAGCAGCAGCCTTACCAGCACCTAGAGCATGAGACGCACTAGCACCTAGAGCAGCAGCCTCACCAGCACCTAGAGCAGGAGACGCACTAGCACCTAGAGCAACAGCCTCATCAGCACCTAGAGCAACAGGCTCTATACCTGGGTCAGGCGGTACGCAAAGGTAATAGGCACCGTCAGCACTAGTAGGCAATGCATACATGGCAGTGAGAATAGCATCATAGTCAAGAGCAAATATATCTACCCTCTGCCTAAGCAGCTCCAGCCAGGTGGGGAGCTCAGCCTCGTCGCCAAACTCGGTACGCCAGGCGTCGCTCAGACGAACGAAGCAGCGGGACTGTGTGTGACCAAGCGTCCCGCAAGCTTGACCAGCCCGATCACCTGTGCAAATGACGTACGGGCAGCGAACGGTACTCCGAGACCCTCTACTCTGAGCGTACCACTCACGAAGCTGCTGGAGCGTAAGTGTCTCGCGCGGACGCTACTGCAGCTGGCCACTGCCAGACGCTCCCGATTGACCAGCTCCAGGGCAATAGCTACGACACTACCGGCACAACCCCAACTAGCGTACCACTCACGAAGCTGCTGGGGCGTGAGAGACTCACGCGGACGTCGCTGGAGCTGCACCTGGCCACCGCCAGTAGCACCAGTAGCAGCAGCAGCAGCAACCTAGTAGCAGTAACAGAAGTAGCAGCAGTAGCAGCGCGGGCAGGGCAGGCAGGCAGGTAGATGGCGCGGCAGCGCGCTAACAATGCAGGCGCGCGGGAAGCGCTGGTAGGGTAGGTTCTCACCAGTGGCGGGAAGGGCAGACGCTCGCCGGGCGAGCAGGGCCGGCGCTCAGCGGACGACGGCGGCGATGGCGGGGCCACAACAGCGGCTGCAGAGTAGGGCCGCGTCAGCTGCAGGGCTGGGGCCACGTCAGCGGCAGGGCAGGGCCGCGACAGCTGTTGCAAGGCGGGGCCGTGTCGGCGGCAGGGCGGGGCCAGGCGGGGTCGCGTCGGCGGCAGGGCTGGGCCGCGACAGTGGCAGGGCGGGGCCGCGTCAGCGGCAGGGCGGAGCCGTGACAGCGACCTGGCGGGGCCGCGTCAACGGTAGGGCGGGGCCGCGACAGTGGGAGGGCGGGGCCGCGTCGGCGGCAGGGCGGGGCCGCGACAGCGGCAGGGCGGGGCCGCATCAGCGACAGGGTGGGGCCGCTACAGCGACCCGGCGGGGCCGCGTCGGCGGCAGGGCGGGGCCGCGATCGCGGCAGGGTGGGGCCGCGTCAGCGGCAGGGCGGGGCCGCGACAGCGGCCTGGCGGGGCCGCATCGGCTGCAGGGCGGGGCGGTGCTCTGGCCTGACGGGCCTACAGGGGCGGCTCGCGGGCCTAACGGGCCTACAGGGGCGGCGCGTGGGCCTTACGGGCCTGCATGGGCAGCGCGCGGGCCTTACGGGCTTGCAGGGGCGGCGCGCTGGCCTTTCGGGCCTGCAGGGGTGGCGCGCTGGCCTTACGGGTCTGCAGGGCGGTGCGCGCGTAGCTAGGGCAACAGTAGGCAGCACGAGGGCTGCAGGACGGCGCGTGCAGCGCAGCACGTCACAAGGCAAGGCACGCGAAGGCGCGCGCAGGACAACACGTGGGGTAGCGCGGTAATCGCAACGGTAGGTGGGCCCGGAAGAAAAAAAGACGGTCCTACGAACCTAGTGCTCTGAAACCATGTTAGAATGTAGTAGCATGCATGGATTGACTAGATCAGGGTTTCGTACAAATATGAAACCCTAATGGGTTGTACCCTATATTGGCTACCCCACTACAGCCTACACATATATAACATGCATATAATTCGATACTCGCTACCTCGATTCATTGCACCCACAACAACAGCACACTTTCAAGATGGGACAGGGTTCATTATTTTGTATTTCGGTTTTATGAAATCATGGTATGATAAAAAAGTACGGTACTGTATTACCCCGGATAAAAGCGCACCTGCGCTTATAATAAAACATGATTTGTCAGGGGGGTGCGCTTATAATTGAGTAAAAAATATCTGCGCATGTGCTCATAAAATAACAGATATACAATTTAAAATTACTAGCACAAGAATGTAGTTCGCGTCATTGCGCACCCAATCGAGTCGATTTGAAACAGGGTTGTGGGTGAAAATCTCTCGCTACTTGGCAGGGAAAGATTCCCTGCCAGCACATACACTCAAAATGAGTCACTAGGCGCTTCTGACAGCACATGCTGACTGGACGCGCACCCTGCAGGGTTTGAATGCGAAGGAAATACGATTTTCAAGTCATCAGCTTGCTAAAGCGAGCTTCGCTACAGAAATTCGACAGTTTTTCAAATTGAAAACTAACATGCGCCTATAATAAATCACGTTTTTAAAGGGGGTGCTCTTATAATTGAGGATCAGCCATGAGCGCATTGCTCCAGATAGAAGCGCATGCGCTTTTAATAGGCCTGCGGCTATATCCGGGGTGTTTCGGTAAGTATGAAATATAGACGAACAGATCAAATTGGTATGATAACGAGGGCCCTGGTAGCAGAGGATGGTTGTGGGCGCTGCTGCGGGTGTACCCCACTGAATTCCTCGACCCAAGTCACTACTGTGCACCCCACTCCGCCCAACACAGCTAGGGAGAGGCGTGCCAGGCAGCACCACATGACTCTTCACCCCTAGCACCGAATCTGTCGTTGCTGCTAGTAGTCGCGCACCACCGATGCGACCGTCACGGCATTCGGTGCCGAGATTCTAGGTCGTTAGTCACACCTGCTGCGGCGTCAGCCACACCGTGAGCCACTGCCGCAGCCCGCTCATGAGGTAAGCGCGTGACAGCTGGCCGGCATTGCTGACGTCCAAGTCAGCAAAGGTCTCGCTGGCCATCTTCTGGAGAGGCTCGTTGCTCGCGAGGATCTGGCGAGGGGCGAGGAGGTGGGAGGGCAAGCACGTGCGGCAAGGAGTAGGGGTGGGCAATGGGGGTGGGAGTGAGGGGGAACTGGGGAACGGCGGAACTGGCGAGGAAGGCATACGAGGAGCCCTGCGGGAAGCATCATGCGAGTGCGGAGAATTGGTGGAGGGGGGGATTGTGTGCGCGTGAGAGCAACCTTTCTAAGGCTGCACGCGCTGAGCGCGATCGACGCCTCCCGAGCGAAAGCAGGCTGCTCCCCCGAGTCGAGTAAATTCGCCATGCCCGTCACGAGCTGCACGAAGAGCTCGTTGAACTGCCGCCGCCCCATCTCCTCCGCTCCCCCCACGTACTTCTCCAGCAGCGCCGCCAGCGTCGCCTCCGCCACTGGCAGGTGCGAGGTGATGGGAGCAGTGCGAGGTGAGTTGGGGGATTAGAGGCATAGAAGCGCAGCATATGCGCGCAGGACGCGCGGTGGCAACGCAAGGGGCAGTGTGGGCGGCGTCAGACCTTGGGGAGGCGAGCCTTGGATGCCGAGCGTGGCGAGCACGGGCAGCAAGTCCCGCTTGGACAGCTTGCCGCGGCCGCCCTTGTCCATCTGCTTGAACGCCGCCTCCGCCAGCGCCGCCTCCGCTCGCTGCTCCGCGCTAGGTGGCGAGTGGCGCATCGCCCCGCAGGTGAACACCTGCAACAGCAGCGGCGCTGCTGGGGGATTGCGTGGGGGAGGAGGGGAGAAGGAGGAGGGGAGAAGGGGGAGGAGGTGGGGGTGGGGCAATCCGCGTGGCATTGCAAACGGGCCCATGACCAGCCGAGCCACGCTTGGACGCGGAGGAGTGGAGGATGGAGACGCGCGGCGGCGGCGCACACAAGGAACGGAGTGGCGTTGAGACGATTCCGCGCATCGGAAGCAGCATATGCGACGCATGAGCAGCAGCAGTCTGACCTGCGTACGCCGCGACGATCTTGACGACATTGAGCAACCCCAGCGACAAGGCGACAAAGTGGTCCTTGCCCAGCTCGCCCGTCTCGTCGCCTTCGCCCGTCTCGAACGCTTCGTCCACCGCGCGGTCCAACTCCGAACTACCGCCCAGCTCCGGCAGCCCCGCCAGCCGCGCCAAGCGCAGAAACGCCGGGCGTAGCTCGGCGCGGCTCACTTTGCCGCTCTTGTGGGCGTCGACCTCATCGAAGGCCGCCGTGACGTGCGCCTTGAGCGTCGCGTCGTCCGCCAGCTCGAGCTTGCCGGGCGGCCTTGGGCTGCTTGCGGACTTTATGACGGACATGGTGGTTGTCGTGGAACGCCGCTGGTGGTACTGATGAGTTGTGGTATGATGCGAGTCCCATCGCCCGATAGGAGAATTTATGGTATTCTGCGAGTGCTACTACAACACAGCGGGCAAGCCCTGGGCTTCACTCGGCTGGGAGTCTGATGGGACTAGGGCGCTGCGGCGAGAGGGTGGAGTGAGGAGGAAATGGGAACGCGTCGCCTTGCTGTAGCGTAATGCGGTACCCAATGGGCGCTGCCGTCTAACGTAGTGGACGCGAATGGCGGCGGTTCTTACGTGAGAATTATTAGGCAGCAGCCGTGAGTGGATGTTCTTTTCTGTGGGATTAGGTGGCACACGGTCCGTGATCTGTTCCGCGAACCGTGTAATACGTGGCATATGTTGTGACGTGGAAGATCGGAATCAGGTTTCTGATGTGGCTTCTTCGCGGTGTGGTGGATCCCAACTTCCAATATCGGGATCGGATCAAATGGGTTCGGTTCGGTTACAACAGGCGAATCTCTGTGAAAAGCGGTACAGAACGATTATGAGAAGTCGAGTGACACCACCACTCCTGGTCATCATCACAGACAACGCAAATCGCGTTCATCATAGTTTTCAAGGGCCGTTTGAAGAGCCAATCAACCACTTTCGCTCAATCTCTTCCGCCATTTTTCCTCGAATACACGCCACCCGCCCCATCACCTGACCCAAGCCAAGCTTGTCATGGCGGAGTCGAAGTGCTTACCCTCCCTGTCCGCAGTCATCGTCATCGGTCCCAGCGGCTGCGGGAAAACGTGAGGTAGCGTCGCTCCTTCGTCGCGCGTGCTTTTGTCGCGCGTGTTTGTCGCGCATGTTTTGTCGCGGATGCTTCGCGCAGCGTAGTGATGTGATGGACGCGAGACACCTTGGTTGCACGCGAGGCACCTTGGTTGCACGTGAACTCAGCGAAGCTTCTCTTTCTCCTCCATCCCAACGCCACGCCTATTTTAGTTGTCTCCTCACGGCCACGGGCTGCCAGGTTGCGGAGAGACCGGTTTGGAACTGGAGTAAACACCTGCTGAGTGTATGATATCTCTTACATTTCTGTATTAATTTTTTATTTCGTCCCATGCTGATTGGTCGCTGTGGTCAGGAGTGTGGGGAGACGGGTGGCGGAGAGGCTGGGGTGGGAGTTTCACGACGCTGATGACTTCCACTCGCGGGAGAATAAAGGTTGTTGAGATGGTGGGGTGGGATGGGGTGGGATTGGTTGGGATAGGGTAGGACAGGGTGCTGTGGGGTGAGTGAGATCGGATGGGGTGGGATGGACGGAGTGGCGTCCGCCGTATTGTTCCCTATCCTTCTCTTCCCTCCCACCTGCACCCTCCATGTCTCTGCACCATCTCTCTACTGGAGCTCCAGTCTCCCTCTCACATTCCTCAGTGCACCCCCGTCGCACGGCTCATTCCAGTGCACTAGCACTAGCCATCAACCAGGGAGTTTTTGAGAATTCTCAAAATCTCCCTGCTCCATCAACCAGCACAGAATGCCCGTTCCCTGTCCCACCTCCAACCCAAAGTGAGCCATTTTGAGGACTGGGTACATCACCCAAAGTGGCTGACTGTACCGTCCTGTGTCATTCCCACTGCCTCTGACCACCCCTCACGGTTCAGGCACCCGCTCTGTCTCGTGCCACTGGTGCTCTCCATACCAACCCAAGCCCTTTCTTCCTGCCCCCTCATTTCCCCGCTCTCCCCTCCCCGCATTTCCCTCTCGCCAGCCAAGATGCCAGCAGGCACTCCCCTGTCTGACGCCGACCGCCTGTCACCTCACCTAACCGCTCTGCCACCCCTCCCCTCGCCCCGTTCCTCCTCCCCCCTTGGCAGCCAAGATGGCGGCAGGTACTCCCCTGTGCGACGCCGACCGCCTGCCATGGCTTCTCTCCCTGCACGCCCTGCTCTGCCCCTTGCACGCGCTCCCCCTCCCTCCTCCCTCTACACACCGGGGATCCCAGACACATGCTCCTCCACAGCACACGTGTCAAGCCCCTGCTGATTCATTCGCGCTGTCCCCTTTATCATGCTCCTCCCCGCCACGCTTCCCCTCTCCTCCCCCGCCCCATCCCTCTCCCCCGACCCGTGGCCCGCTGGTGCTGGCGTGCTCCGCCCTCACGCCCGCGTACCGCAACGTGCTGAGGTGGGGAGATGGGTGCAGGTTAGACGCAGATGTGCGGACCGCAGAGGCAGGGGATGTGGGGGCAGGGAGGGAAGCGCAGGGCTGTGAGGCATGTGGGGAAAGAGAGATTGTGTTGATGGGTGCGGGGCGTGCAGAGCATGCTGCCACAGCTGCAAGGGCCAGTGCTGCTGCTTCTGCAGCAGTCAGCAGCCAATGCGGCCAGCCCAGGGAGGGCAGCAACAGCAGCAGCAGCAGTGGCAAGGGAGGTGTATGTGGAAGGGGAGAAACGGGCAATGCGTCATGCAACCACATTGGTCGTGGCAGCACAGGCACATGTCCCACTGCACCGTGTGCTCCAGTCCTGCCCGCTTACCGTCTCGCTCAGCCGCAGCACACCAGCAGCACAGGCACAGAACACTCTGCACCGTGCGCACCTCGCCTGCTCTTCATCCTGCTGGACGTTCCTCCCCTCGTGCTGGCAGACAGGCTGGCCCAGCGCCACCACACAGAGGGCCACTTCATGCCGCCCTGCCTGCTGCCCTCGCAGCTCGCGCTGCTGGCTGTGGGGGAAGGTGAAGGGGATGTGGTGCGCGTCAATGCTGATGGCGACCTGGAGTGCGTGGTGGATGATGCTATGAGTGTGGTTGCCCAGATGAATTATTGAGAAGGTGTTACCTTTACGGACGAAACTAGCAAGGTGTTTGAACAGTTGGATTTCTTCTGTGTGGGATGGTACTGCTGTGATGTGATGTGAGGCCGAATGGTGTGTTACACTTGCATATGGTGCTTGTTCATGTTGATGCAAAGTCATACGAAGAAAGATAGTGGGAGTTCTGACAGAAGGGGCCACAAATTCATTCATTAAGCTTATTAGAGCGTTCCTACGGACCCCTATCAGGCTAACCCCTTGTCAGGCCGGTGCATGCGAGCGATTTCGTTATTAACACCGTTTTCCAGACTTGAAGAATTACAATGCTGTTCGATGAATTGGTCGCGCGAAATCTTTCGCACGTGCTGTGCAGTGACCCTTGTCAGGCAATCGCGCGAAATCTTTCGCACGTGCTGTTTCAGCGAGCCACGGTCAGGGAATCGTGCGAAATTCTTCACACATGCTGTTTTGTCGGGTATGAAGCTGTCAAATGTTGTAGCCTGTAGTGAGGTTTGTCTTAGGGGGTACAGAAGTTAGGGTTTGTCATATGTACCCCAACCAACATCAATGCAACATCCATTCCTCATTCTGACATGGTATCAGCTAGGTTAGGATCCTGTGGGATCCCGTTCCTCTGTTCTCCGTTCGTACCTCCCGAGCCTGATCCTACCTCTCGTTCGTACCAGTTTAGTTGTTACCGCGCCTAGTACCGAGCCTAGCATCATCTCCCCCGTCGCGTCGCGCCCGTTCCCCCCGTCGCGTCGCGCCCGTTCCCCCCGTCGCGTCGCGCCCGTTCCCCCCGTCGCGTCGCGCCTGTTCCCCCCGTCGCGTCGCGCCCGCCTGTTCCCCCCCTGTCCCGTCGCGTCGCCCTGCCCTGTCCCGTCGCCCTGTCCCGTCGCGTCGCCCTGTCCCGTACCGTCGCCCTGTCCCGTCGCGTCGCCCTGTCCCGTCCCGTCGCGTCGCCCTGTCCCGTCGCGTCGCCCTGTCCCGTCCCGTCGCGTCGCCCTGTCCCGTCCCGTCCCGTCCCGTCGCCCTGTCCCGTCGCGTCGCCCTACCCCGTCGCGTCGCCCTGCCCTGTCCCGTCGCCCTGCTCCGTCGCGCCGCCCTGCCCCGTCGCGTCGCCCTGTCCCGTCGCGTCGCCCTGCCCCGTCGCGTCGCTCCCGCCCTTTCTCCCGTCGCGTCGCCCTCCCTAGGCCCTAGCCCGTCGCCCTCCCTAGGCCCTGGCCCGTCGCCCTCCCTAGGCTCTGGCCCGTCGCCCTACCCTAGGCCCTGGCTGTGTCGCTCCCTACTCCTGTCACTGACTACTACCGCACGTACCGTCCTGTTCTCTCTCGTGTTCTCGCCTCTCTTGTTACTCACCCTCGTGCCTCTGTGTCCTCTGTGTCCGCTCTTACTGCCGCAGTTACTGACTTTGCCTCTACCCGCCGCCTTGACTACGCCACCACGCTTGTGGCTGCTCCTCCTACCAGTCCTCTGGCCGTCGGGGGTGTGTCTGCCCTTGGCTGTGACGCCCTAGAGGACAAGCAGTTTGAGCTAGAGTTCCTGGCGGCCGCTTCCCCTCATCTCTGTGCCATGCTCCTCGCCCCTGAGGGTGACCCCGACGCCCTTGACATTCCGACTCCTCGCACTTACACTGAGGCAGTGTCAGGGCCTTGGGCCTCTCAGTGAAGAGCTGCCATGGACGCAGAGATGGCCTCCTACAGATCCACAGGCACCTACGTCGATGAGGTTCCCCCCCCTGGGGCGAACGTAGTCGACGGCATGTGGATCTACAGGGTGAAGCGGCCACCGGGATCTCCCCCGGTCTTCAAGGCGCGCTACGTGGCTAGAGGTTTCAGTCAGCGCGAGGGAGTTGACTTCTTTCAGACCTTCGCACCTACCCCGAAGATGACCACTCTTCGGGTGTTACTACACGTAGCAGCACAGAGAGACTACGAGTTACACTCTCTCGACTTCTCCACTGCTTTCCTTCAGGGCAGCCTACACGAGGAGGTCTGGTTGCGTCGTCCCTCGGCCTTCACTGGCACCTTCCCTCCTGGGACCCAGTGGAGGCTGAGGCGACCTGTTTACGGTCTTCGCCAGGCCCCTCGTGAGTGGCACGACACTCTGCGTTCTACCCTCTCTGACCTTGGGTTCCAGCCGTCTTCTGCCGACCCGTCGCTGTTCGTTCGTCGTGGCTCCACACCGTTCTTTGTTTTGGTCTACGTCGACGACCTCGTTTTCGCCACTTCGGACAGGGTTGCTTTGGCAGACGTGAAGTCCGAACTGCAGAAGAGACACACGTGCACTGATCTTGGTGAGCTGCGCCACTACCTTGGCCTGCAGATCACCAGGGACAGAGCCGCTCGCACCATTACACTCTCACAGTCACACATGGTGCAGCAGGTCCTTCAGCGGTTCGGGCTTCAGCACTCCACCGTACAGCGCACACCTCTAGCTGTTGACCACAAACTCACTGGTCCCTTTCCTGACGAGCCGTTTGAGCCTAGTGGTCCCTACGCAGAGCTTGTGGGTTGCCTCATGTACCTGATGACTTGTACTCGCCCGGACCTCGCCTTCCCTCTCAGCATCCTTGCGCGCTTTGTTGCGCCAGGGAGACACCGTCCTGTTCACTGGACGGCAGCTGTGAGGGTGGCGAAGTACCTAGCGACTACATCAGGCGTGGGGCTAGTTCTTGGAGGGCAGCAGTCTGTCGTACTCACTGGTCACTGTGACTCCTCTTACGCTGACGACGCTGAGACTCACAGGTCTACTCAGGGGTAGTGTTTCAGTCTGGGTTCTGGAGCTGTTTCCTGGCGTTCCACGCGCTCCTCTTCTGTCTCGACCTCTACAGCTGAGGCTGAGATTTACGCTGGTGCCATGGCGGCACAGGAGTTACGGTGGTTGACCTTCTTGCTCGCCGACCTTGGTGAGCGGCCGAGCTCTGCACCGACCTTGTTTACTGACAACAAGGCGTCGATCCTCCTCTGTCGTGAGCCGCGACTGGAGAGCAGAGTGAAGCACATTCACGTCAGGTACTTTCTTCTGCGAGAGTTGCAGAGGCGTGGACAGGCTCGCTTCGAGTTTGTAGAGTCCGAGGCCAACACTGCAGACATCTTCACCAAGGCGCTTCCGCCTTGTGACCACCAGAGGTGTTGTGTGCAGTTAGGCCTTGTTGACACAGGTTCTAGTCATGCGTAGACTTGAGTTTATTGCCTGCTTCGTCTGTACACTTACTATATATACTTGTGATCTCTTGGACTGGCCTTGTGGCCACTGTTGCTTGTGCTCAGAGTGTGTGGTGACGTTGTGATCCACCCTGAGCTTTGTTTTCTTTTGGACTGGTCTTGTGACCGTACTCTTTTTTGTTTTTGCTAGACACCCCTCACTTAGGCTATGGGGGTGTGTCAAATGTTGTAGCCTGTAGTGAGGTTTGTCTTAGGGGGTACAGAAGTTAGGGTTTGTCATATGTACCCCAACCAACATCAATGCAACATCCATTCCTCATTCTGACAGAAGCATACAAAGAATTTTCCGCCAAACACACGTTTCAATCGCCTGAAATTTGTCTGAACTCGGAAACTTGTTCTTTTGCAACCTTTCGGGACCGTTGCGCAGTGCCACGTCACCCAACGCATTTTGTCGCGCACTTCACAAACGATCAAACTGTCTAATACACAATGCGTTTTTTCCGAAATTCTGGTGTTTGAGGCGAGTCTGACAAGGGGCTGGCCTGATAGGGGCCCGTAGGAACACGCTCTTAATAGAGGGCAGTGTGTGTGACACATTCAGGCTAGTATGGATTACTGCAGTGAGCTACAGGAACTCCTCCATCCACCTACGTGTCATTACCATCTATGGACGCAGCACCCTCTGCACGCTCTCCATCACCGTTGCTTCCACCCTGCTGTGTGCTGCCGTCTCCTGCGTCCGATCCACTTGTCCCTGCCTTGCTTGCTGCCTCCGCCCCCCCTGCCCCTTGCACCTGCCCCTCTTGCGCTTTTTTCCCCTCTCTCTCCTTTTGTGCCTTATGCCATGGCAAATGGCAGCTCACCTCACTCAAATCCTCCTCCGGACACAATAATGCCAAATTATGTCGACCACCGCACACCGCAAACGCCGCCCGCCATCGGCTTCTTGGCTGCTCAGAGGAGTTGCTGAGGGAGCGGCTGATGCTGCCGAGCCTTCTATGCAGGTTCGGATGGTCATCCGGATGGAAGGTAGCATCGGGGTCCCCTGGGAGAGGAACTCTGACCAGGTCGCCTGTTGTTACCGAGCCTGCTGGCCCGAGCCTGCCATCGTCCACTCTGCCAAACTGGGAAGGGAGGTTCGGATAGAGAGGAGGGCAATGGGTATGGATGAGGTTACACAATAGAGTGTGGCAAATTCAATGAATACCGAGACTGCTGTGACTCACACTGAACATTCGCCAATCAACACATTCCTGGCACTCGTCACAAAAACCTTGCATTCATGAAAGACGAGATACGGTGCGGTGCATACATTTGATCCATAGGTGTGATGCGGTGCAGAGTGGTACACTGTTTTTGGAACGCCTCCTTTTGTGCGTCTTCCCAGGAATGCACCCTGCCTGAATCACAGTGAACATTCGCCCATCAACAGCGACTCACACAGTGAACATTCGCCCATCAACAGCGACTCACAGTGAACATTCGCCCATCAACAGAGACTCACAGTGAACATTCGCCCATCAACAGAGACTCACAGTGAACATTCGCCCATCAACAGAGACTCACAGTGAACATTCGCCCACCAACAGAGACTCACAGTGAACATTCGCCCATCAAGCGTGACAACGAGGGAGTGTGTGCCACCACACGAGGCCTGCACCACTGTTTCTCCCGCCAGCAGCGTCACCACCGTTGGTACGGCTTTGATTGTCTTGTCCTCGCCGAACCCCATCCGCCCGTGCTCCCCTCTTCCCCATGCCCACACCTGTATAGAGAGTGGTGATAATAGATGGCGGGTATGGGAGATAGAGATAAGTGAGGGGTGGTGGTGAGTGGTAATAAGCCTCAAGAGTATGCTGTAGGCTCAAGAGTATGCTGTAGCCTCAAGAGTATGCTGTAGGCTCAAGAGTATGCCGTAGGCTCAAGAGTATGCTGTAGGCTCAAGAGTATGCTGTAGGCTCAAGAGTATGCTGTAGGCTCAAGAGTATGCTGTAGGCTCAAGAGAATGCTGTAGGCTCAAGAACCCAATCCAAAATCTATATGCCTACCTGCATCACACACTGTCATCCTGCCTACCTGCATCACACACTGTCATCCTGCCTGCCTGCATCACACACTGTCATCCTGCCTGCCTGCATCACACACTGCATCTGACTATACCTGTCCGGAGCGACTGACTGCCATGGAATGCCACCCCCCTGCTGTTATGTCCACCTGCCATGCCATGCCGTGCCATGCCATGCCATGCCATGCCATGCCACGCCGCCATGCCATGCCATGCATGTGTGGTTCAGGGCAGAAGCGAATGGGGAGAGAAAGTACAGCTGAAGCACAAGGAGCAGGGAGAGAACGGGGCAAGCGAGTGATTGATTGCAAGAGGTGCTGACGTATGCGTGCACGCAGCAGCATTAAAGGAGGGCAGATGAATTAGGATACCCGCAGGAACTCAACCACACATGCGTGCGGGTGCCTGCATGGGTTAGTGCAAGAGAACCACAGCAGAAGATCCATGTCTCTGGTTCTGCCGCATTGCACGGCTGCAAGTGTTGGGCCAAACCAATCACTACGGGTTCTCCTTGCTGCAACTGCAGCGTTCGTGAGAGTTGAAGAACCACTTGAGCACTTGAGGGTGGACACGGGGGGAGCACAGCATGCAGGAAGTGGTGAACGGGGTCTTGAGGCCCCCCCGGAGCTGGTGAGGAATGAGGGTGAGGGTGCAAGCAGATTGCGCGCAGGTGTCGTGACAGCATGCAAGCAGCACGCACCACATGAGCGTGGGTGAGTTGAGGCAGGTCCACAGGCAGCGAGCGCGGCTGCGTGTCCCCCGTGCCCAGCTGCCCATACTCGTTGCTGCCCCACGCCACCACTCGCCCGTCCCCCTTTAATGCCAAGTTGTGGAACGCGCCCACCGCTATGCTCCGCACGCCCTTCAGCCCGGGTACTTTTGCTGGCACCCACACCTGCTTGCTGGGGAAGGAGGGGGGGCGGGGGATATGGGGATGGCGATGGAGGGGGGGATGGGGGATGTGGGGATGGGGAGGGCGAAGAGGTGTCTACTGAGACGACAGAATTCCCCACGCCACCACACGGCCGTCCCCCCTTAGCGCCACGTTGTGAAACGCGCCCACCACTATGCTGCTCACGCCCTTCAGCCCGGGTACTCTGGCCGGCACCCACACGTGCTTCCTGGTGGGGAAGGGGAAGGGGGGATGGGGGATAGGGGAAGGGGGACAGGGGATGGGGGATGGGGGAAGGGGGATGGGGGATGGGAATGGGGAAAGAAGGCCGGGGGACGGGGAGGGCGAGAGGTGACGGCATGCCGCACGGCAGCACATGGCCGTCCATCCGCACGGCAGCACATGGCCGTCCATCCGCACGGCAGCACATGGCCGTCCATCCGCACGGCAGCACATGGCCGTCCATCCGCACCGCAAGGCCAGGTGGCAGACAGGTCCATGAGTGGAACATGGAGGTGGAAGATTGGGGGATGCATGGGGTCGCAGGTAGCAGGTCGCAGGTAGCAGGTCACAGCCCAATGCGATACATGCACTCACTGACAGCCAGTCACACTCTCCTGTACTCACGCGTCAGCGGGCGGCCAGGGCTGTCCCCACACCCACACCTCGCCCTCCCTCGTGAGCACCACGGAGTGCGTGCCGCCCGCCGCCACCTGGGGGCATGGGGGCATGGGGGCATAGGAAAGGATAGGGTATCGGGGCATGCGGTCATGGTGGGATAGGGAATAAGGGCATGCAGTAGTGGAGGTGTGCGCAGCGCAGATGAAAGTGGTAAAGCAAACAAAGATGAAAGCGGTAAGGCAAACAAAGATGAAAGCGGTAAGGCAAACAAAGAGGCGGGACTCACCAGCGAGAGTGGGAAGGATGACACAGTGAAAAGGAGAGAGAAGAGCAGACAGAGGGACAAGGGGGACAGAGCTCTCACCTGCTCCCACCTCTCACCTACTCACACCGCTCTCACCTGTTTGACGCGCAGCTGGGGCACGCAGGGGAAGGGCGAGAGGATGTCGCGGGCGCTCAGCTTGTTGCCGTGCAGCTTGTCTGCTACCTTGGCTGCGCATTGCCCATACTCGTTGCCGCCTGGGAGGGGAGGAACACAGGGTGACACAATGAGGTAACAGGGTTACCACATCAGCTTGTTGCCGTACAGCTTGTCTGCTACCTTGGCTGCGCACTCCCTGTACTCGTTGCCGCCTGGGAGGGAGAGTAAAACAGGGGGTACCAGGTAACACTGTGACATGGTAACAGGGTTACCACATCAGCTTGTCCGCCACCTTGGATGCACACTGCCCATACTCGTTGCCGCCTAAAATGGGGGAAAATAATGGATAAGAAGGTAACTGGTGACCGACACGGTTCCACATAACATGACAGGGTAACATGGTTACCACATCAGCTTGTGGGCCGATATGGAGTCGCATTTGCCCTGCTAATTGTCACCTCAGCAAGAGGGAAGCGAGGCGCATGAGACAAGACAAGAACAACACCGGCACAATTCAACAGTAGATACACGAAGAGACCATCCCCTTTATGTGGGCCCTAATCTACCAAGCTGGCAGCATGGCATGAAATACAACGCACTGCAGTGCAATGTGGAGCATTTCTGGGTGTGAGGGAGTAATCTCGAGCGAGGAAGTGCAGGAGGGCAAGGACGGACAGACCCACCCCAAGAGAAAGCAGTCCCCTTCTCGTTCACGGCTAGACAGTGCCATCCTCCAACGGCTGCCTGCAATGTCAGCAGTCCAAAAGAAGGAATGAGCAGCAGAGATGGGCATTCATAACAGCTAAATCATGACAGCAGGTAACAATGACAGCTAACAGCTAAATCATCTGAGACAGCGCACATACATGGTGAGTCAGCTGACCAGCAAGCCAAGTCAGCTCACCTGCAAGCTGAGTCAGCTCACCTGCACGATCTTCTCGTCTTTAAGCGACTCCACCTGCACGTGGATGGAACGGGAGAAAGGAAGCGTTTAGCACACAAGGCACGGGCACCTGACCTGGCACCTGACCTGGCACCTGACCTGGCAGCTGACCTGGCAGGGGACGGCTTCTCGCGGGGCGGCCGGGGCGGGTGGATGGCCCAACGTGCTGCGCTGATTCCACCCCCACAGGAACACCTGGTGGTGGGGGTCGGTAATTGGGGAGGAGAGGGGGGTGTTGAATGTTTTCGAAAGGGCTCATTCCACCCCTGCACGGACACTTGGGAATGCGAGGGAGGGGGACGGAGGAGGGGGGAAGAGAAAATGTTCAACAAGTGCTGGTTTCGCTTATTCCCAACACGAATACCTGGTGGGTAGCGGACGCTGGGAAGGAGAGGGGCGGTGGGGAGAGGAGGGGAATAGGAGGAAGGGTGTGAGTTGTGTAGTGCTGGTTCCATCCCCACAAACACCTGGAGAGTGAGTGGGGCTCGTAAGGTCCTTAAGGGCGAGGAGGGGGTTTTGTGTGGGTGGCTGCAACAAGTGTAGGTGCTGTGCCAACCCCACACGGACACCTGGCGGATGGGGAGGGGAGGGGTGATATCGCCGCACAGGTGACATTCCTCAGTGAACACGCTGGATGGACCAAGGCGAGGATGGAAAGAGGAGGCTTGATGCGTGCTGGTTCGAGAGCAGCACAGGCATTGGTGCTGTGCAGACGGCACATGGGGTAAGGAAGAGGGGAAGAACGTTTTGGACCTTGGGGAATGCAAGAGATAGGTGCAAAGGAAACACGTTTTGGGGAGGGAACCCATACTGTTCATCTCACCCGGCCATCCTGTGTGAGGGCGAGGGAGTTCCTGCTGCCACCCACCAGCTGCACCACGTCCGCCCCTGCCAGCGCCGGCACCAGCTGCAGCGCTGCTGAGTGCGCCAGTGCGCCCGTGCCCAGCTGCCCATCCTCGTTCGCTCCCCTGCAAGGGGGACATGTATGGAGGAAAGGGGCAAGTTGAATTGGTGGGTGAGGGCCAGGGAACAGCGCCTTCTCCCTGCCTTGTGTTGCTCCTCAGTGCGCCAGTGCACCCCCGCCTGCCCAGCTGCCCACCCTCGTTCGCTCCCCTGGGGAGGGGGAGGGAGAAGGGGTGAGGGATGCATGGAGGACAGGAGCGAGTTGAAAAACAAAGTGTGGAGGGGCGGAGGAGTAGAATGGCGCTTCTCCCGGGCTCGTGGTGCTGCTGGGTGCACCAGCGCGCCCGTGACCCGCCCATCTTCATTCACTTCACACGCCCGGGAAGGGGCGGGGAATGCGTGGAGGGTGAGAAAGGGCTAGTTGGGCTGATGTGGGTGGTTGGAAGGGATGAAAGGCGCTTTCACAGGAGTGTGGAGGGGTTTAGTCCTCCCATCCTGGTTGAGGCCCCTGAAGGTATGGCATGCGCGGAAGGGGATGGGGCGGGGTTGAATTGAATTGATGGGGGCTGGTGGAGTGAAGGGCGCTTCTCCACTCCACGCCTGATGGCGCTGCACGGTGCATCAGTGCTGCCCGCTGTTATGGCTGTCCCAGGGGAGAGGACCTTTGAGGCGCCTGAAAAGCTGTCCCAGGGGAGAGGACCTTTGAGGCGGGCCACAGAGGAGATGCCTTCCCGTGGGCAGCGAGGAGATGCCTTCCCGTGGCCAGCGAGGAGATGCCTTCCCGTGGCCAGCGAGGAGATGCCTTCCCGTGGGCAGCGAGGAGATGCCTTCCCGTGGCCAGCGAGGAGATGCCTTCCCGGCTGCGAGTGCGCAGGGAGGCTTTGCCATGTGGAGTGGGGATGTGAGGATCGGGGGAGAGGGGGAGGTGGGGAGGTGGGGATTGGGGGAAGGGGAAGGGGGAGGGTGGTGTGGTGTGTCTCCCAGCCCAGCAGAGAGAGAGGCATGGCGACACAACGCAGTGGGGCAGGCCGGCAGGGGAGATGCGCATCTTGCTGTGCCCAACTGCCCGCCCGCCTGCTCCGTGCGCAGGGAGGCTGCTCCGTGCGCAGGGAGGCTGCTCCGTGTGGAGAGGAACGGGGAAGAAGGGGAACGGGGGAGAAGGGGAACGGGGGAGGAGGGGAACGGGGGAGGAGGGGAACGGGGGAGGAGGGGAACGGGGGAGGAGGGGAACGGGAGAGGTGGCGAACAGGAGAGGTGGCGAACGGGAGAGGTGGCGAACGGGAGAGATGGCGAACGGGAGAGATGGCGAACGGGAGAGGAGGCGAACGGGAGAGGTGGCGAACGGGAGAGGTGGCGAACGGGAGAGGTGGCGAACGGGAGAGGTGGCGAAGCCAGAAGGGCATTGCGCGGCCCTTACCCTTTCTCACTCAACCCCATTCTCGTTAGAGGGCCAATTGGTGCTTCAAACGAGCTGGCCCCATTGGCCCTCGAACGAGAAAGGGGTTGAGTGGGGATTCAGGCGGAGGGACGGGGTTTAAGTGGGGTCGGAGGTGGGGGAAGAGGGGGAATGGAGAATTGGGGTTGTTGGGGTGGGGGTGCGGCGTGGAGAGGGGGTAGCGGAGAAGAGGTAGGGGAGAGGCGGGGGAAAAGTGATGGCGAGAGTTGTTCGAGGGAGCGTGTTGTTGGGGTCGTGGGCACGTGTGATGGCAACGGTTGTTCCGGTCTCAAAAGCACGGGGCGTCCAGTGCTCCCCCGCTGCCACCTCGCACAGCGCGTGCGACGAGTGCGGGCGCAAACACTGCGGAATCGCTGCCTCGCCCCCGGCAGCGTGCGGAACCGCATTTCCCGGCGAAGGGACGACCCCCGCGCGAGAAAAACCACCCAGCAGGCAGCGCCGGGCAGGAGCGGCTGTGTGAAACTCGAGTCACTCAAAACACAAGTCGCCTCGGCTGCTCGGGGGAACTGCGGGGCGAGAAGCGTGGGGGGAAGCGGCAGAGACGAGCTTGCGCCGCCGCTGCCTTTGCGGCCTCGCGGAATTACGCTCGACGCAGCATTCGCCGCAATTGACGCGATGGGTTTAACCGTAACTGCTTGCTACACGCCAAGCAGCTACATCCCGGAGCGAGCCGTACGCGTTACAGCGCATGGTTTACACGCAAACCTCACCATGAGTATATAAGTTTTCGGCAACCTTCAGAAGCAGTCGCGCGGTCATGCGCCATTCCAGTGGGCTAGCGGGGGAGGGTCAAACGTATGATAGTTGCAATGGTGCGTGGCAAAGGATGCGTTCGTAGATGTTGGAAAGTTGGGGGGGGGGGGGGGGGTGTGCGTGTTGATCACTATTTTATCAGACCTGGGTTGTAACACGTTGTTACTAGTGCAATCGAGAAAGTCAGCTAAAATTGCACTATCTAATTAAACAATACAATGAGCTAGGGCACATTGGCTGCATTGCGTTCTGTTGGTGCATTAGTAATGCGCCAACAACGGACAAGTAATGCGCTCAGAGGCTCCGGCGCAGGAGTGCACCCTCTTAAAATTACCACGAAGGGATGTCTTGGGCGAGACGTATCTGCGAGACAACCTTTAGGATGTTTACGTTGGGGCAGATGTCAGATGTGGTAGTCTTAGTGATGTGTTTTAGGGGGTACAACTGATAGGGTTAGGTTTATGTACCCCAACCAACCTTAGTCAAACCAACACTTTCATTCTTGACATGGTATCACCCAAGTTAGGATCCAGTGGGATCCCATTAGAGCCTCTCGCACCCGTTGCACGTAGTCGACTGTTCCCGCTGCACCTGTTTCGTCCCGTAGCGCCCTTAGTGCGTGCCCGCTCCGTTACGAAGCGCCCGTAGCGCTCGCACTCCCCGTTGCGTCGCGTCCCCAGCCCGTCGCATCCTCTGCCCGTCCCGTCCCCTGCTCGTCCCGTCCTCTGCCCGTCCCGTCCCCTTCCCTGTCCCGTCCCCTGCTCGTCGCGTCCTCTGACCGTCGTGTCCCCAGCCCGTCGCGTCCCCTGCCCGTCGCGTCGCGCTGCCAGTCTCGTCCCTAGCCCGTCGCGTCCCCTGCCCATCGCGTCGCGCTGCCAGTCCCGTCCCCTGCCCGTCGCGTCGCGCTGCCGTCCCGTCCCCTGCCCGTCGCATCCCATGCCCGCGTCGCACTGTTTCCCCCGTCCATCGCGCCCCCGCTGCGCCCTGCGCGTCCGTGGTACCCCGTGCGCCCTGCCCGTCCGTCGCGCCCCCGCTGCGCCCTGCCCGCCCGTCTCGCCCCGTGCGCACTGCCCGTCCGTCGCGCCCCGTGCGCCCTGCCCGTTCTTCGCGCCCGGTGCACTCTGCCCGTCCGCGCCTGTTGCGCCCGTTCCTGCCAGTTGCGTCCTGTCCCGTCGCGCCGCACTGTCTGTCACGCTCTACGCAGGCCCTTCAGGCGTTTAGGGTTCCGGCAACAGCAGTTCCCACCCCTTCGCTACCTCTTTGGCGACCCTCAGGGTTCTGCGCTTTGACGCCGAGGGTAGGCCGCTTGAGTTCTCCGCCTGGCTCCTACGTGCGCGCCGCCTTTTAGAGAGTAAGGTTCAGGCGGATGAGTCTCTGTGGGCGCACGCTTCTGGCGACCTTCCTAAGTCCGACAATCGTGCACCCTTAGGCACTGACCCTAGCGATGCAGCCAGAGATCGTTATGCTCGCTAACGTGCTGACCTCACAGCGTGGAAGTTGCGTGACGCTGCGGCCTGCATCACCCTCAGCAGCCTCCTCCCTGAGTCTGAGGAGGCCCACTTCACTCAGGTTCTTTCGGCTAGTGAGTTCGTGACTGCGATCAAGGCCCGCTATGCTACTCCCACCTCTGTCTCTCTTGGTCGCCTGTTCCTCCCGTTCCTGTTTCCTGACCTCGCCTCGTTTGAGCGCTCTGCTGACTTGATCGCTCACTTGCGCTCGCTTGATTCCAGCTATCGCGCTGCCAGCACTGACGAACAACTTGCACTGCTCCCTCCCCCTATGGCGATTACTAGATATTTCATCGCCACTAGCCAGCCTGACCACCTTGCCTCGGTTCGTGACGCGCTTCTTCTAAAGCACCCTAGCAAGCTCACTATCGAGGTCCTTGAGTCTGCCCTCAAGGACGTCGAGAGCAACCTCCGCTCAGTTGCCTCCGCCTCTAGTGCTGTGCCCCCTCCACTGTTTCACGGGTGCACTGTCCCTCAGGTGCCCACCTTTACGGGCTCCCTTGCCACTGCCGCTAATCACATGATCGCAGCTGCTGTTACGACTTCTTCGCGGACTAGGGATAGGAGCGGCAGGAGAGGCGGTCAGGGTGCGGGCGGAGGTGGCGAAGGCGGTGGGGGTGACGTGGCGAGCAGAAGTGGCGGGAGTGCAGGGTCTGGAGGAGCGCCTTATGCAGCAACTGGTGACTCCCCTGCTTCAGCTGGTGGAGGTGACGCCCGGGTTTGTCAGCCACCTACTGGTCTGCCAGCTGCAGGGGGTGGAGCAGCAGCGTGGTACCTGGCTCAGCGACAGCAGCAGGACCAGCAGCCCCTCCCCTCGTAGCAGCGGCAGCAGCAAGCTCTGGGGTAGGGGTCTGGACCGCGTTAGCTGTTGCGTGGTGTCGTCTACCCTCCCTGCACCTATCTCGTTCAGACAGGTACTCGCCGAGGCCTCCCCTGTGGCCGCACCCACCCACTAGGTCAGTGCTTTGCTCAGCTCACTGACACACTTCTTGCGGCCTACGGGGTCGACGACCCTGCCCCTGACTGGCTTCCCCTTGTTCAGCGATACGACCCCGCTCTGTGGGGCAAGTCGGCTTCTCAATTGCTTGATCTCTTAGGAAATCCTCATGCTATGTATGCTAATGTTGACTCTAGTGCTTCTGACTCGGTTTACTCGAGTGTTGTTAGCTTGTGTGCTTGTGTTATTGAGGTGTTTGTTGCTAGCGTAGGTACTTGTGTAGACACTAGTCCAGTAGCTGCTTTGGAGGACACTTTGCTGTCGTTCACCCTGGATTCCAGAGCTTCGCACTGTTTCTTCCGCACGACTCTTACTCCGCTTCCTGCGCCGATCTCTGTAGTACTAGCTGATCCCACTTCGGGACCAGTCACTGCTTGCTACAATACTACCCTTCCAGTTCCCTCGAGTTCGCTGATGGGCTTCCACGTCTCCTCCTTCTCCAGGAACTTGGTGGGTGTGAGGCTGCTCGTAAGTAGTCACGTGGGTGTGTGGATTGAGTCTTCTGGCAAGACTGCGGTTTGTGTCGACGGGGACACGTATGCGCCTCTGACCACCTTTACCGCTGAGCTGGGCTCTGGTCTCTACACACTTCACATTGGCCCTCGGTAGCAGCAACAGCACCAGCAGCGGAAGCAGAAGCAGCAGCAGCGGCAATGGCAGCAGCAGCAGCCGCAGCAGCAGCACCAGCAGCAGCAGTAGCTACTGCCCCCGACCACTGTCACTGCCCCCCGTCAGGTTCCCCCGTCTCACCAGGTTGCCGCTTCTCACAAGGTAGTTGTGTCTGGTCAGGTTCCCATGTCTGGTCCTGTTGTTGTGTCTTGCTCCTGCCGGTCACTTGCCCACCCCACCGATCTATGGCACCACCGGATGGGGCACCCGTCCATTCCTTGCCTGCGTGCTATGTCTAGTCAGCGTCTTGTCTTAGGCCTCTCGCGAGTCTTGTCGTTGCTGCCGCCTTTGCTTGCACCACCTTGCGGTCCCTGCATCGAGGGTTGGCAGCGCGCCACCCCTCACTCCTCCCTTCGTCCGGCCACCGAGCCCTTCAAGACTCTCCACTTGGATGTCTGGGGCCCCGCCCCTCGCCCTGGCCCTGAGCGAGAGAGTTTCTTTCTGGTGATCGTTGACGACTACTCTCGCTACACCACAGTGTTCCCCCTAGCGAAGACGTTTGAGGTGACTTCTACGCTGATCCGATGGTTACTTACCACTGCGGACACTTGTGGTCGTCGTGTCAGCTATCTTCACTCCGACCGTGGGGGTGAGTTTCGCTCTGGCATTCTCGCTGGATTCTGTTGCGAGCAGGGCATCCGTCAGTCATGGACGCTTCAAGAGTCCCCACAGCAGAATGGGGTTGCTGAGCGCCGCATAGGCTTGGTCATGGAGATTGCACGCACCTCCATGATCCATGCCTGTGCGCCCCATTTTGTGTGGCCCTACGCGGTTCGGTGTGCCGCTCACTAGCTCAACCTCTCGCCACGTGACTCTCGGCCAGAGGCTTCACCGACCAGTCTTTGGACCAGGTCCCTGTCACAATGTAAAATTGACTAAAACAGAAAGTACAAACAAGATATATGCAAAACCTAACTGTAGTGCAAGTACAAAATAACACAAGGGAGAACACCTAGACTAGAACTATAGTTTGATAGTCCCTAGGTGCTGCGTCGCGTTTTCGTGTCTAGGGCTGCTTGG